ACGAGCTCGGCTTGTGCGAGTAAGGGCCGAGCCGACCTTTTCCACCCCTAACTATTCTGGTCCTCTTTTTATTTTATTTTATTTTATTTTTTTATTTTTACATGCCACGAGCCAAGCCGGCCTGCTTGGCTCGTCTTTTTGACGAGCCCGAACAGCTCGTTTTTTACGAGCCGGCGAACCGCTCGGCTCGACTCGGCTCAATTGCCACCTCTACTCCAAATTGGGGAGAGGTTCGAGAAGAAGTTGCTACAAATTTATCTCAGGATATTGAACCAGGATGCAACACTGACACAAGGCCCAAAAGGTAGTCAAGTGTTTCAGCAAAGCTGAAAATTTTGAGCATTTGCTGGACAATTGACCATTTTTCAATTTCTCTCCCTCCAAAGTCCTCCCCCATCAAATTTGTTTTTCTCGAACTGGAAATCTCGTAAAACATTATTGAAATTTTACTAATTTCACACCTATTGTACTCTTATTGAAAACTTGGGTTTCAAAATATGAACTCTTGATTAATACATACAATTAGGATTCAACATAAAATTGGACCAATAATTAACAGAATTCTAATGCATTTCCCCTAGATTTTATGATGTAATTAACACAAAAAAAAGGCAATTAATTGAAAAAAGAAACACAAATCAGTGTCCAGCAATTTCTAGATATAAACACACGAGAACAAGGGGTCCCTCCAAGATCTACAAACTAGCAAAAAAAAAAGGAGAAAAGAGAAGAAATTATACCTGAGTGAAGATTTACGAAATCTGTAAATTTGCACTTGAAACCCTAAAATATTTTCGTTTCAGGTCTACGATAATGAAAAAATTCTGGTACACAGAGATGAAGAAAATACAGTGCAGAAAATTCCTCCAGTACGTGGCTAGAAGAGAAAAGAGATTTTTTGTGTTTGATTGGGAAATTGTTTTTTTGCATTTCTAAGGAATGAGGAAGATCAATGGCGCCGCGGGATGACAAGATTGAGAGACATTCAAAACATTTATTTTGACAATTACTTTTTGACCGTTGGGGCCCGACAACGTTCCAATTTGTATTTAAGAAAATTACAGTTACATCCTTGAAGTATCTAATTGTTACACTTACACCCTTCGTTCTGTTCAAAAATCATAGTTCTAAGAAATAATTAAACAAATATGAAATCATTTTACGCTGCATTCTAAAGAATTACAATTAAGGTCCTTGATATGCAAAATAGAGCAATTAGGTCCTCAATCTATGCAAAACAGATACATTTGATCTATGGCATGGAAACATATTCAATTTTTTTTTCTTTTTTTGAAACAAATGCCTCAGATTTCATTCAGAAATATCATGAATTTGTGGTCAATGATGAAGCTTGGGGACGTCATTTAGAGTGCCACAGAGGGACTTCACCTACAGAAGGGACACCACTTGTTAGTGATAGTTAGGACTGGACATGGTCCGGTTCGGTTTGGTTCTGAAGAGACCCGAACCGAATCAAAATTTTCGGGTACTTAATAAATGGAACCGTCGGGTCCAAGTATAATTATGGAACCGTTCGGGTTCGATTCGGTTCTGTTCCGTATCATAATTAATGTTTTTTAACATTTACAGCAATACTATATAAATACAACTAATGACTTGTTCATTCATAACTTTTACAAATTAAATGCACTATCTAATATTAAGAATGTTGAATTC